ATCTGGATCAGGTATGACCATGGTGTCACATTGCTCTTGCATTAGCTCCTGCCCATGCTACAGAGTTTTTGTTCTGCCTCTGGAAGGACTGACAATACCTGATCTGGTTTTAATGTGTGCTGGTACAAAATTATCCCTTCAGCATTTTTTTCTGAACAAATTTGAATTGGCAGGGTAAGTTAAGTTGCGTGAGTGGTTTCTGTTTGATGGCTGTGGTGTATTTGATCATTAAAAGGAAGCCTACAGTCAGCTTTATTGTCAGATCATGACATTTACAGCAGTTGATGGTTGATGTGTTATGGGCTCTACTGAAGAGAGAGAGGTATTGGGGCAGTCTAGGTATGGAAGCAAGAGACCTCAACAAGGGTCTTAGTTGCACAGATGGATCAAAGGCCTTTGTCTTAAAGATGCAATATAGAAGAAGTCTAAAACTTAGATGTACCCTGAGTGCTAGGATCTACAAAGAGGTTTCAGAGCTGAAGGTTGATATACAAGCTCAAGTTGCAGGTACTCACAAAGATAATAAGAGGGCTTTCAGAGAAGAGAAAGAACCGTGTTTTAGCTCTGCTGAGCTTAACTTTCTGCTAGTCATGCACAGAAGAGAGAAAAAGGCTATCATATGGGTTTGGATAGAGGGAGATCACTCTGGGGAAAGGAGCAGATCTGTAAATCATCTGCAGAGAGATGTTAATTGTATTTCTATTTCAGATGAGATAATTTAGAGATAATGATGGGAGGATAAAAGGAGAAGACCAATGATACAGCTCTGTTATCGAATACTTGGAAGGATGGCTTAGGTGAAAAAAAGGTGTTAAGCATGATTGATTGTGTTAAGTCAGAGAGGATGAGGTTTAAATACTTTTTTTTTTTCAGCTCTGTTGAACCTTTGAATGGTTTTGGTTAATCCAGAGTAGAAATGGAGAAATTTGGACACTGATAGTTAAGGTGTCTATGGAGTGAGTCTAGAAGTGAGAGAGAGCAGTTATTAGGAAAGTGGGTCTGAGTCAAGGCTTTTATTAATTTATTTTTACCATTTTTTTTTATTTTTGAAGGGAAATGGAAACGAAGGAGGGTAAACCAATTAGACTACGTCATATTTTAGCCATATCATTTAAAAAAAATTAATTTTGCTTATGAAATTTATTCCCTCTAGTGGCAATTAGATGGTTTCTGGGCTTTTCTTCTTTTCCTCACTAATTTCATGGACCAGAAAGGTGGGAAGCACAAGCGTTGTTCTCTCAGGTGTCTCCCCTTAGAGCTGTTCAGCTAAAGATGTAGCTTTAACATGCTGCTGAGCCAGTCTAATGACTTGTGGCCACTGAAAGGTGGATTTATTTTTCTCAGTCACGTGTTCTGTCCCTTTCTTTGTGCTGATGCTGCTACTTATTGGACCTGCTTGTCTGCTGTTTTACGGAGTTCATTTGGTTCATGAAGTGTCTAGCACAGGCTAGTCAGGAGTGCCCTGTGGGGAGCAGAGTTTTGGGAGATGAGGGATGTCACATTCTTAGCAGTCATGAACTGTGAGGCCTTCTGTGTGCCTTCTGGAACTGAGTCACTGGGATAAATTAAGCAGCTCTTCAAGAAACGGAATTGTGAAATTCCTCTCTATTCCTACATAACCAATGAAAGAGCTGGCAATTAATAAATAAGTTGATGATGATCAGTGTTAATACAATTCATCCTCATAGGATCAATCTGGTAGCTCACACCTCTGAGCATTTTTTTCAGATTCTTTGTGAAACCTGGCAGTGAATTACCAGTAAGTTACCACCGACTCATCTTTTGATTCAGGATGTTTTTCACTGAGATCTGGCTCTATGGTGAGATAGTTCAAGGAGTTAAACCAGAAGAAAACTCTGGGCTTTTGTGGTGCTAGCTTCCTGCTTGCTTAATTGCTTGAATCAAACTGGCTTCAGTGTTTGCAGAAGTGGGGCATCAGAAGAATGCCTACAGGTAGAAGGAGGAAGCAGAATCTCCTTTTCACCAGGAGCTAATTCTTCTATCCACCTTGTTGCAATGTGGAACTCCACCTTTAGGATGTGGCCTCACAGCTGATTGATCTCATTCAGACTTTTTGATGAAAGAAGTGGCCCTACTGCCTTCCTGGTATCAGCCCTGTTAGAACAAACCCTGCTCAAAATGACTTGCTGAATATGTAGTCATGGGGTTACTGGTGTTGACATTGAAGATAAATCACATTAGGAGTTGAAATGTGAATTTGGCTTTCTCCTGTAGCTTGGGATGGGGCCCCAAATAGAGAGTTATTAATGAGCTAGCGGGGACTACACACAGCTCTCTGCTTATTGTCTGCTAACAGCAATTTAAGTCTTGACTGGAGCTTCTTTCTTCTCATATTCTACAATCATTGATTTACCTTTGAACACTGAGTCATTTACCCTAGTCTTCTCCCTGTTAAAGGGTGAGCTAATGTGATTATATATTGGGTTTTTTTAATATCTTGATCAGCAGAACAAGCAAAGCCTGGTTTCCTAGGTTAACCTGATGTGGCATTGCTGTGTGGATTCACATGTATGTTCAGCAGTGTCTGCACATGCTTGCTATTTTATCAGTGACAGCTTTATTAGGATCTGTTTCATTGATTTGGCTTTGTATTTCATAGAAGTTACCATTGTTCAAATGTAGATGGAATTGGGCAATGGCTTAAACATGCTTTTTGGTCAAGGAAAGGAGGGAAGAAAGGGGACCTGTAGGCAGAAACAACAATTGACAGTAATTGCATAAGCCTGCTTTCCTTAGGAAATTGGGCTAAAAATTAATCTTTTGACAGGGACCTCAACAGAGATCTCAGATCAGGCTACAGAGACGGAAAGAAAAGTACATCTTGCTGTTTGCCATGTAAAGGCTTCCAGTTACCTGCTGCAACAGATTTCTCATAAGTAAGGCTAAGCCAGTGGTTGGTGATTACTCCCTTGGTTACCTTCTCATCTTCAGCAATGTCCCAATCAGGGTCTGGAAACTTGTTTATTTTTTGCCAGAGTGCACTCATGCATCAGTTGTTTTCATTTATTTTTAACTTAACTTTTATACTTTAATAAATGGTCGTGTAGGTAGTCATATAAGCTGTTAAAGATACTTGTGGTTTACAGGACTCTTGTTTATGTCAGTGATGCCATGAAAAATAAAGGCTTTAAATGCAGCCAAGGATACAGTTCTGTTACTGTAGAAAAACTAGACTCAGGGGTACCATTATATAGCATCTTCTCTGTAATACTTTCACTGTGTAATAAATGCTGGAGTATTTTATTGTTTTCCTCTCTTTTGTAACTTTACACTTAAGCTCCTATTACCTTAGAAACAAAAAAAAAAAAATTGTAAAAGGAAAAAATGTCCTGTTTCAGATTTCTGGGTGGATGCCAGTTAATTACAAATGGATCCAGCTATGAACAAACTTTACAGGTTTGTTCAGATTTGGTTGCTATTCTGGGTTCATCTTGAGTTCTCTTAAGAATGATTTGTCTACCCCGTAGCAGGGCAGCTGGATCCTGGAGCCCAACCACATCAGCTGCTTGGGTCTCCTTCCAGTCACTTGGGCCTTGAAATAAGTCTGTCATGTCCCCAGATGTAAACTTTTTTCCTTGAACTAGTTTACAGCTGGATCAGTTCCCTAATTCTCTGGCCCTGTAATTACAGAAATGCTGCTGCTGAATTAAGGAGCGAGCGGTCCATCAGGTTGAACAGGAAATGTGGGATTAGCCTTCCAAGTGGCTGTCCAGGTTTGTTAGATAACAGTGACCATGTAGAGCAAATGTGGAGGGAGGGGGGTGTGTGTGTGTGTGTGTGAATAAATATAAAAATGGATAAAAATTTCCTCACTGTAGAGCAGGATCGAGTGTCTTTGCAGAAAGACTTATTGTACGGAAGCTGTAACTCTCAGGTATAAAACATTTGTACCTTCAAAACACAGACCCAAGTCAATGGAAAACAAACTTTCCTCATGTGACCCCACCAGACATGATTGCACCATCTTGGCTTAGACCAGGCCTGTAGAACAAGCAGCTGTTTAATGGCCTGGTCATCTTTTTTCTGACAGGGAGAGTGCCTTATTTGCTCAGATAAGTGTTCTTCTGGAAAACAGCTGTGTTCCGTGTTTGCTATCAATTGGTCCCTACCGCATTCCAGAGTTTAAAAAAAAGTATGGAAAAAAAAGTGAGCATTCACCTAGACAGAAAAAACACTGCTTCTATAGAGGCTTTCCCCGGTGACAGCCATTAGCTGCTTTACTGCATCCCTTGGACAATCTGTCTACTAAATACCAGGTCACTGCTAGAGAGATCCTCCTACCCTCAGGATTACAAGTGGCAAAGCTAAAACAAAATTAAATTTGACGCTGTCAAATTGCCAAAGCAATTTATAACAGTATTTCCTGTGGTTTTAATGTCTCGAAGAACAGATGCAGCTAGCTGGGGTTCTAACAGCACGAAAGTTAGGAAATACTGGGAATTGCAAAGGAATTGGAAGACACAGGGTGCTCAGATCCCTTTCAGTTGCAATGGAATGTGGGCTGGAAACTTTGGTTTTTGACAATCTTGATCTCAAGACATGGTGATGATAGACCTGAAGGTGGCAGCTGGCCGTACACTTGCTGTTCCTGTGTTGTGGTGTCACGGTTCTAACGTTCATACTTTTTTCCCCACCCAAGAGCTTTGCCATAATTATGCCTCTGTTAAAATCTTAATCCTTTCCACTTGATTTTTCTCCCTTTTGTTTTCTTCCAGTTTGCCACTTTGGAGGTGGCTACGATTTGCTTTTCAGTTTTCCGCTCTGCCTTTGTTCTGTCCCTTCCCCTCTTCCCCGCTGCCTCCGTGCCCTGGCTCCCGCGTCGCCTCCCCAGCGCAGTGGTGCTGGCTGCCCCGCGGGGCTGGCCGCGGGTGCGGCGGGGGGGCCCCGAGTGACCGCGGTGGCAGGCC